ACAAACATCACCGCCATTTTCAAAAACGACCTGATCATTTATAAAATTGACTAATTTGTTAATTAATCAATGATTCTTATATGCATAAAAAGAAAACTAAACTGAACTGAACAAAGCAAAACAGAACAAAAAAATGTGTATAACAGAAAAATATATATTAGAAATTCCTTATCCGGTCAAATAGCATCACAGTTTTGTCTGTATGTTTACTTTTGAGCTATGCAATCTTTCTACAACCTACTTGACGCAATCCAACTAGAATTATAATAATAATAATTATTATTATAATTAATTATTGTCATTATTATTATTATTTCAACTATTACCACTATTGATAGGATGAAGATATTTGCTTTTGTCTACATGAATTATCTCCCCATTGAATTATTAATCAGGTATAAAAATCGAATTCTCAGCGACTTCCTGTATGTGATGTAGGATGGTGAATAGGATTAAAATATTCAAGAATCTATTTGACCATTAACATATATATATTTTTTCTCTTTTCTCTTTTCTTTTCTCTTCTTCGCCTTATTACTCCCCCCTCCCTTCTAATGTTTAACACTTCTCTCTTTCCGATACATGATCACCTCATTAACAGGGATGTATATATAATATATATATATATATATGATTAAGGCCGGGTTGGGGTGGGGTGGAGGGGAGAGTTGAGAGTTAGACAAAACGGAAATAATTTCCCACTTCGAATTGAAAAGTAAAGCATAAATCCGTTAAAACAAAATGTGAGAAAAACAATTATTTCAGTCAAAAAATTTCAGTAACATTTCAGTAACTTCATTTTCCTTCTCTTAGAGTCTTTGAAAACTCTTTTAGATATCATGGAGAAGATTTGTTGTAGCTCAGGTGGATGATTTTGATGTGGTTGTGTTCTCTGAGCTGGATAGTTGATTTGCGAAGCTTTCATCACCCGACTAGGTGACATCTTCGGCGCATACTTCAAATTTAAAAGCTCACTTCAACAAATTGAAGTATACTCCGAAGATGTCACCTAGTAGGGTGATGAAAGCTTCGCAAATCAACTATCCAGCTCAGAGAACACAACCACATCAAAAAAGAAAACTCTTTTAGTTTGGTAAGTGCTATTAGGCACTCATTTTATAGGAGAGGTATAACCTAGAAGCCATAACTGTAAGATCTTTCATAATGTGTAGGCGGATTGAAATGACTTGGAAATCTTGGTTATGCTGTATACAGACAGACTAGATGTAAATAATGTGAATAGAGTAGACTTTAGATTTTAGGTAGATAAATGTGAGTATTACTCAAAAGGGCTACTAGCAAATGGACTGACTGGTAACTTTCCTCCCCCCCCCACTTAAACCTTGTGTAACTTTGAATTTGAAACTTCGCCTACCAACAAAATTGGATAAAATTAGTATTTTTGAAAATGTAATTAATACCTTGGTTATCTTTTTATATTCACGGACTAAGGTTACTTGTCACTTTACCTTATATTACTTTTTTGTTATAACACTCCAAAGTTATGAAATAGGCGAGCATAACTTTTCGTGGCTAAAATCGTTGGCTAATGTTTGTAGTTCATTATTACTTTATTCATCTACTACCTGTTGTTATGGTGTTTTCCACTTTTTGTCTTATGGGTTTTTCACTCTTTGTGATTTAGCATGTTAAATTTTCTCAGGAAATTACTAGTCATATTCCTTATCTAATGAGAAATGGTTGATTTCCTTTTTTATGAAGGCATCTATCTATATCTGTATTCATCATGCCTATCAAGAATAATTGCTTTTCAGGGTAGATCTGAGCACTAATCATATTAGGTCACAGAGTTTGATCGGGTACTCCACTATAATCATTAGATAAATATTAGATAGGCTAAGTGGTAAAGTGTTGGTTCCATACTCTAACTATTCTTGACTCAATTTTGTCTCAAATGCTTAGATGTATTTCTTTTTTCATTTCTTTACACTCCCAGTGGAATGTGAGGTGGTTTCAAGCTAGTGGCTTGAAGTTTCTGCAGCACTGGTGATTATTTTTATAGGATGAAGTTGCTAGCCTGTCTCATGCATAACCTCTCTTTACCAGTCTTACTACGGGCTAGGTGAGGTAACGGAGTCCGTCCGTGACCGGGAATTGTACTCCGAACCCCCTGCGTGGTCGGTGGGCACTCTACCTGTGTGCCACCGACGCGCTTAAATGTGTAAATGTAAATACTAAATCGTTTCTTAACAGAGAGAATCAGCTAATTAGTGATCCATAGTTATTAATGACTCACCTTATCAAAATGTTTCAATTTAAGATTACTCAAGTCATTGTAAATTGCTCTAACCTGCTACTGAATACTTGATGTATTAATCTCCCTACACTACAGAGACAATTTTTTGAAGACTTTGATGGTTTATAAATCTAATAGCTCTACTTCATGTTATCTTAAGTATAATGGCACCCTCTTCTTAAATAGAACTGCATCTTTGAGTAGGTATGGTATATACTTCTTAGAATGGTTCATATATTACTGTAGGATACTTGTTTACAAGTTCGTGGAGTTACTTTTCAACGACAAACATTTAGCTCTAAGATAAATCACTGTCCGAGATATCATCCCCTGAATTCACTGTACTAAGATACTAAGATTCGCATTTCCAACACTATCTAGCAACTTTAATCTCCTCCGTCGATGGAGTGACGTAAAGCGCTGAAAGTCAGGCAGTTGAAAGCCCTGAATCACAATGGAACATCGATGGTGTACCACTTTTTATTCATCATTCTGAAATACACATACTATGGGAAAGTGTATTTGGGCTATTGTGAAGTATTTTTTGCTTGAAAACACCACAGTTTCTGTGCGTGTGTGTGTATTAAGGCGAGTGAGAATTTACAATTTTGGTAATACTTAAATGCAGAGAAATGATGGGACGCATTACTAAAAGTAGGACCTTCAAAAAACAGTGATAAGTAACAAAGTTCTTGTTAATCAAGGAGATAAACAATTCTTTATTTTTATTTCTTTTTTTGTTTGTTTGTTTCTCTGTTTTCAAACAATCACAATCAAATGTGAAGGAGAATAGGAGTTTTTTTTAAAACGACAAAAAACGGATGGAATATTCGCAAATAGTTTGACGATTTCACCGGTCTAGTAAAAATACAATATGTAGGTTAGCACATTCAAAAAGTAATTGAAACACATCACCATCCTCCTGTTAACTCTTTGTAAATGTTTAGCAAGTATTACCACAAAAAGAAGCATTTTTAAACAGTATTTGTGTATTCACTTCCCATTAATTATTTGAGGCAGGCATTCTTTCTGACTTATTTAAACTCTAGGCTTTATTCCTACACGATCTGCCTCATTTAAACGAAACCAACTTTGTCAAATATGCTGATGATCTGACTGTATCACTCACTGCCTATCACTTCCGAGTCTGACTGCTCCAAACTTAAATAGCTTTCTGTTGGACATCAGCAAGTGGTCTAAGTGTCAAATGGTCTTATGTTAAATCCTTTCAAATGTCAGGCAGTTAACTTTACTTTCAAGCGTCGAAGTGACACGATTCCTGTAGCATACATAGATGGCACTGAAATTGAAACCAAGTCAAGCATTAAATACCTTGGATTAGTTCTTTCCTCTGACCTTTCATGGTCATCCCACATCTTATCAATCAATCTCTAAGAAAATGTTTCGTCTTACCTTCTACATTAAAAAGTTAAGACAATCAGGTATCAATCAACCTTTAATTCTGCAAATTTTAAACTCCTGTATTTTACATATTGTACCCTATTGCTCTCCATTAATCTTTCCTGGGCTTCTCAAAATAGACTATATTCTATTACGAAGGGGAATTAAATACTGTGATTAGGGCTTGTGGTTTGCCACTGCGTGAGCTCGCCAATACTATAGTCGAGAGACGCATAAACTGCTGTACAAAATGGGCAAAGGCCATACTGTCAGACCCTCTACACCTCCTTTATTCACAACTATCCCCTTGTATCTCATCACGTAGGACGAGAAGTCAATATAAATAGTCATATGCTCGAACCAATAAGTACAAAAATTCTACAATACCGTATTCAGCCCGTATTTTATGCGATGGAGACTCTGTTAGACGTGAAACATATAAGTTACTAAGTAATTAGCAAAGTGAATCGACCCTTTCATCGTTCATCTTTCTGTAATTTTATGGTGTCACCCTTTCTATCGTTTAATTATAACTTTGCTATTTTTATTTTAGTTGTTATTACTATTATTACTATAATTTTATACTGCTTACAGTAATTTGCTACATAGCTGCTATAACAACGTTTTGTTGTTATTAGTATTTTTATGTAATGTTTCTTTTTTATTTTATTTGTTTTTTGTCGTTTTTGAGTAAATTACATGCAGTATTGTACTGAATGCTGAAAATTCTTTGCTGTATCATTAGTACTGTTTTTGGAATAAAGCAAAAATCATTATCATTATTATTATTTCTCATGCTCAGTGAAGTCATTTCTATCTGGTCACACGACAAATTCACAAGTTTTTACTAATGTTCAACTGAGTCTAAGCATAGTTTCGTGATGTATCTTTCTTTCACACATGGTGATGTAAAACAAGGCTTACTGATTCACACTATTTATCATAATGCTGTTAATATATACACATATACATATTTTTTAAACTGATGCAACCACAGAAACTGAATGTATCCATCATTTTTAAAATACCCTCCATTTGAATATCTGTGCGTTCAATGGGTTCAATATATATACACGTAGATATATTGTAGTGACATAACAATACATGAGGAGAACACCTTTTAACACTGAATAACTGTCACTTGATTAATATACTCAAAAGGGTGGTGGGAGGGGATTTAATTCCCAAGAATTAACTAGTGCTTACTACTGATTTCAGTAGTAGTTTGTGAAAGGAGACTACTGACTGAAATGTACAATATCTCATTCATTATAGTTACACTATATATACATAAATAAATACATAATTGTGAAAAGAAAAGAAAAAGAACAAATGAACTTACATTGTTTTGTTTTTTTTTTTTTTTAGTTTAAATTAGTGAAACTAGAAGAAAGGTACTTTGAAGGAAAGTTAAAATTAAAAAATTGTTGAAACAAGCCTTATATAGCATTTTTCTCTTCTCTTCTTTTCTTTTCCAATTTTTCTGTCTCTTGTGATAATAGATAATAAAAACGAAAACAATCAGCCATTCACAGAGACACAAAGAGACAGAGTGGAAGAGAGCGATAACAGGTTTTGACACATTTTAGGTTAAAGCAATCAGATTTACGCTTACTAATGAATGTGAATGTGAACGTGAATTAATTAATTAATTCATTAATTAATTAATTAACTGACTAACTCATGGTAGAGAGAATTGCTGGTATGCTGAACTAAGTTTGTATGTATGTGTTGCGTGTTTACTTGTGTATATCTTACCGCTTTGTTTTACTATTATTTATTAATAATAATAATAATAATACAGTGGTTTTAATGACCAAACACTAATTACTCCTAAATATATATATTCACTTTTTTTTTAATTGTTACTTTATGATTACTTGGAAATTCAGTTATAATAGTAGCGCGTAGTTTGTATATACATATATATGTTCATGTGTATGTTGAATATTGAGCAATTTTAAATTGAAACTTTGAACACAATAGCAGCAAAAATGGCATCTGGTAGAGATTCAAGTTAGTGTTGGCCATTGCCGCTTTTTTTAAATCATACACATACACATACACACATACAAATAAGCGTATAAATATCCACATACTACTTACTATCACTAATTAAGTCTAGTCGTTTGTGTAACTGAAGCAAATAGACGCACACACGCACATACAAACACTTACGCACGCACATATACGTACATAAATACAACCAATTACCCGCAACATTCAACTGAAGTAAAAAATGATTAAAGTTAGATAAAAAGTGGTACTGTTTAACGTTCTTCTGTACTCAGTAGTGTTGTATCTCTAATCACTGCTCAGTAATTATAATTATTTTTTAAAATAATAATAATAATGTCAAATAGGCCAACAGGCCAGTAAGTCATCCAATTAGATACTAACAAACAAAAGTAATAGAATATTTTAGATAATTAAAACAAAAATAATAATCACCACAAAAGAGTTAAGAATACCAGTTTTCTTTCTAGACAAAAACAACATCCTAAGGTAGCTACTGTAAAACTCTATATACCGTTTTTCAGCTATAGAGAGAGAGACTACAGTGCACTTCTCATACAGAGTGAGTGGGTGGGCGTGCTGTAAGTTAGCTCGTGTTTCAGTGTGCGTGTGGGTGTGCAAAAAACAGCACAGTCACCAAATTAATTGAGATTTAATAGATTTCTCTCCTGTTTCTGTCTAATAATAATTTATTCAGTTGATTTGACTTTAAGAGAGAGAGAGAGAAATCAAGTTGACTCATGAATTTACAGTGCTATAGAGTACTTTATGCTAGAAATAATAATAGTGATAACATTTTAAATCAGGTCTCAGTCTATTGATTATATCGTATAAATCTTCGTTTTTTTTATTATTGTAGAAAAAGCAGAACTTTTAAATTTAACCTTTTTTTTTCTTTTAAACAACACATTAATTATCTGTAAGCAGGCATTTAACAGACACAGATAACTCTTGGTCATTTAATAATGAAAAGTGGTCAAAGAATTCTTATTTAATTTCTGTTTTTGGTTGTTGTTGTTGTTGTGAAGATTGTAATCGATATTAATGCCATATTAGTTACAGATCAACATCATGAGCTGAAATCAGTTAGAGAGGTACATTCTGCAATAAATTTTACTATTGAGACTCTAGTACTTCATTTTTAGACGTCCTTATGACCAGAAAATGAGGCTAGCAACCCCATCCTGTAAAAATAAACACTGCTACAGAAACTTCAAGCCTGTATCTTGAAGCCCTATATTCCACTGGGAACGTGAAGGAATAAAAAAATGACCAGAAAAGAGGACGGCACATTAAGAAGAAGTGTTTATAGAAAGCCTACATCAACGGGCCAGTACACACATTTTCTCAGCTTTGTGCCCTTGAAATACAAACGCAATCTAATAAAGTGTTTGGTCCACAGAGCTAGAGAGATTTGCTCGGACGAATGTCTTCACGAGGAACTTAACAATAATAAACGGTTGTTAAGTGAGAATTTGTTATCTTGGAAAGTTTATTGATAAGAATCTGAATCTGAAACTAAAGCAGCCCAAGTTACCAACAGTTCCAAAAAAGGTCTTGTTCTTACAGATGCAGTTCCTAGGAGACAACACCAGTGAGATACTAACACAGCGCCTTAGAAATGCGGTAAAGAGAGCATTCCCTGCCGCTGAATTACGCTGTATCTTTAAAACCACTCCTCTTTTGCGTTCGGAAGTAAAAGACAAACTGCCTAATTTCGCCTATTTCATGTGTATCTACCAATTTGACTGCTCCTGTGGAGTAAGCCATTTACATAGGCCGTATAACTAGGCGTGTTTCTCGTTGAATTTCCGAACATCACCCTGCGTGGTTAAGCAAAGGACAAACAAAAGCTATTCGCAGCGCTATTCTGTCTCATCTTTTGGAGACAGAAAACTAGATTGACGTTAATTATGCTTTCAGGGTCATTTACCGCATGCCTACCTCAATTTCGCCTTAATAGTTCGACTACTAAATATTGCTGAGGCTGTGGGGATCCATATTAACAAGCCTAATTTATGCGTCCAAAAGAAATTGGTTCAGTCATTATCATTACCTTGGCCATCCAGGTTTGAATAATCCGGAATTTTTGTGAAATTTCCTTAATTTTAGTTGATATTCTATCCGCTATTATATCTTTATTATTATTATAATTTAAGCATTTTTAATGAACTGTAATTGCATTGATCATACTTTAAAAATCGATATTATTTAAAAAAACGCTAATATTGTTATTAACTACTAATTTAAAATATTCTGTGTATATAAACATATATATATATATATAATTGTAGAGCCTGGAAGAGGAATTTATCGAAAAGAATATTCTTCCCTCGATTATTTTGTGTTTTATAGTTAGAGAATCATTGGGAAATCTGCAGGAAGTACTGGACAGCTGTTTCCTCCATCCTGGTTTGGGACTCTTATTCAGCGATGCGCACCCACCATAGGGATGCATGTTACGAATAATATGGAGTTATTGAGATTTATACTTTCATATGTTGATATGAAAGAAAACTATAATTATCCATACTAAACAGGAGTATGATAAGAAGGCTCTTAACGGTTCAGAATCACTCCTAACCAGGACTAGTATTCAACTGCCCTCACCCCACCAAAATGAAGAAACAAATAACAGTGATAATGAACTTTTGAGAATTGATCTAATGCCCACTAACGACTGGCCATATTCCGGCAGGTAGTTACCTGAGGTTCTAGTGGGAAGCTGTGACCAGTAGGGTATAGAAGGTCGAAGATGAGGACAGTTACTCATCGAAGAATACATCGAGATGTGGTCGCGCTGTGTCATAGATTAGCAGAAGTTAGAATTCATGGACTGACCATTGGATCTGGTGGGTCCCAGTGAGCGGCTTAATGGTCTACAAGCTTGCTCACCTTTCGACCAGAAGGTCGTGGGTCAGAACCTCCTGTGGTGGGTGTGTACTGCTGAGGAGTCCCAAACAGCCGTCCAGTACTCCCAGCTGTTTTTCCAGTGGTTCTCTAACTGATTTCAGCTCACGATGAAATCCTCCAACAAATCAAACAAAATAAATTCCCTAGAAAACTAATACTTTAAAATCAACATTAGTCAGAGAATCATTGAAAACCAAACTGAATTGAACAGTTGTCTTACCCTAGTTTAAGACTTGTGATAGACGTTGAAAATTTCTAATGAGAAGTTATGACCAATGGAGTCGATTATTGTCACATGTAGTGAAATGCTCACCGAAGGCAGTAGTTGGCGTTGGTGACAGATCATGAAATCACAGAAGTTAGAACTTATGGATCATTTGCTTCCATCCTGGACAGACTGTAACTGAAACTTTGTTTGGAAAGTCCTTCCTGAACGGTCTAATCACAATACAGATACTTATTTGAGTGTGTCAACCACTCCTGTAATTATTATTCATTTTTCCTCTTAGACTGTGTATCAGTATTTCGATACTTGCATATCATACGTTGACTTGATTCATGTTAATTGTCTTAAGATGTAAACGACAGTTAAGAGAAGCCGTCGATTCTCATGACAGTTGTAAGATTGACGGGAATGATGTAGAAATTAAATCAGAAATTAAGTATCTTGGACTTATTCTCTTTTCTGATCTCTCCCATGTCTTCCCATGTCTCAGCGATCTCCAGTAAAATATCCCGCTTGACATTTCACATGAAGAAGTTAAGGCACTCGGGTATAACTCAACCCCTCCTCTTACAGTTCGTAAACTCCTGCATCCTACCTGTTCTTCTTTATTGTTCACCCTTATTCTTTCCTGGTTTGCTTAAAAAGGACTATGTCACAAGTCGTAGAATGCTGAAGACTGTCAGCAGAGTGAGTGGTGTCCCAGTGGACCACATAGTTAACGACGTGGTCGATAGGCATTTGACTTCGTGCAGTATATTTGCCAAAGGGATTTTGTCTGACTTGGAGCATCCACTTCACCCTCACCTTTCACCTTGCATCTCCTCAGGTAGAACAAGAAGTAATTTCAGAAAACTGTATGCTCGCACGTCTTAGTATAATGATACCATAATTGGCACGTATTTTATGTGATGAAAATAGCGTCAGGCAAGAACTGACTAACCTTTTCATCTAGAAAATAAACGATTTCCTCCATCCATCCATCCTTATATACCTTCAAGTTTTACTTTTATTATTTCTATTATATTTCTGGTCCTGTTGCTTCTTTGTTCTTACTTTCATAACTGCAAACACCAACTAATGTCTATGACTGCTGTAATCTTTGTGGTTTTTCCCTCACCATATCATGTAGAGAGAACATTATATTCAATATTTTTTAGTCATGCAAGGATTTGTATACCGCATCGACAATACTGTGTGAAACAAGCCCACGGAAATTTCCACTTGTATTATTATCACTACCTCAGCTGCTA